TCCTACCTCAGGACTACCCCTCTGTGGGGCAAGTAGCCCAGGCCCTCACTGCAGCGAACATCCAGCCCATTTTTGCTGTTACTGGCACGACGCTGCCTGTTTACCAGGTGAGGGCTCTGGGGAAAGACCTCCTAGCCCATTCCATCCCCCCAAGTCTTCCCACCCGGAACCCACCCGTTCTCCTAGAGCTTCATCCACTCCCCCGCCCCGCCCCTCTTCCTTGCAGGAGCTGAGTCAGCTGATTCCCAAGTCTGCTGTTGGAGAGCTGAGCGAGGACTCCAGCAATGTCGTGCAGCTCATCATGGATGCTTATGATGTGAGGGGAGAGTGGTGAGGGTGGGCATTGCAGGGCGGGGCGAGGGAGGTGTCCTCAGGTGGCATGGCATGGTCACTTGGAGTTCTACCCATTCACAGCGCCTGCCTATGGCTTGCACATGGCCTTCCTGGTGCCAGGCAAACACTCTGTCCCTGAGCTATATCCCTTCCTGAGCCATGACTCTGTCCCTGTTTTATGGAGGAAATAGGTCCAGGGAGGACTAAAGCTAAAGATTGCTCTATGTGTGCCTAAATTTGTAATAATTCAGAAACAGAATTTCATGGATCTTGAATGTTTCTTGGGCTTAAGTCTCATTTCTTCTCTAGACTCTAGACATTTTCCTATTTTTTAAAAAAAGACTTATTTACTTATTATGTATGCAGTGTTTTTATTATATACACAGTATTCTAGCTGCGTGCAGGCTGGCATCAGACCTCATTACAGATGGTTGTGAGCCACCATGTGGTTGCTGGGAATTGAACTCAGGACTTCTGGAAGAGAAGCCAGTGCTCTTAACCTCTGAGCCTTCTCTCTTCTCTCCAGCCTTTTATTTTTTTTTCTTAAATACAGGGTCTCTCTGGGTAGTCCTGGGTCTTCTGGGTCTCCTGTGTAAGCCAGACTGGCCTTGACCTCAGATCCAGCCTTGGCTTCCCCAGTGCTGGGATTAAAGATGTGTAACATCACGCCTGACTGTAGCAAGGGCCTTATTATCTGGATGTGGCGTCACACGCCTGTAATCGCACACCTGGTGGCAGAAGGATCAGGAATTTTCAAGGTCAGTTTAGGCTACAGGAGACTTTCTCAATAACAACAAGGATGTCCTCAATCTTGGTGAAATGATTGGAGCTGTATAACCCAGTGGCTGCTTGCTTAGCCTACTAGACTCCATTCAAATCACTCCCCACCAAAGGCAAATTTTTTTTGGTATTTTGCCTACATGTTTGCCTGTATGTGGGATCCCTTGCACAGACAGTTGTGAGCCACCATGTAGGTGCTAGGAATTGAACCAGGGTGCTCTGGGAAAACAACCAGTGCTCTTAACCGCTGAGCCATCTCTCCGGTTCCCAAACACAAATCTCCTAACAATGGGGAAAAATCTTGAGACAGTGCCGGCCATCCCAGAGTAAACATGCTGGAGAAAGTCTTCTTAGATCTTACATGCAGGCTGTGTGTCCTGGTTCGGGTCTGACAAGCGTCATATGCTCTAGCTGAGGCCTCCGCTCCTGGGTATTCCAGGATGCTCCTTCTTTCAGAAATGATTTCTAACTGGGAGGACGGGAGGAGCCCCAGGGGGCAAGAAAGCCAGATATAAGCAGAACTGTGAGCGAATAAGAGGGTAGAAAGTGGGATGCAGGGGGCCTGCCATCACATGACCTCCCCCTTCTTTTCCACAGAGCCTGTCATCCACCGTGACTCTTGAACACTCTTCACTCCCTCCTGGAGTCAATATCTCTTTTGAATCTCACTGCAGGGGTTCTGAAAAGAGGGAGGGTGAGACTGGGAACCGGGGACAGTGCAGTAACATCCGAGTCAACCAGACGGTAAGAGTCAGCCAGCAGGGGGCGATACATAAACGTGGGAAACAGGGTAATATTTGGGGCAGCCATGGCAAGGGGGTAGCCTTCCACTCATCTTTAACTCACTGCATGATCAGTGGGCTTAGGGGTGTGTGTACACGAGGGTGTGTATAGCTTGGGAGGGGTGTGCACACACGAGGGTGTATAGCTTTGTCTGGTCCTATCTTCAGGTAGACTTCTGGGTCACTCTTCAAGTCACTCAGTGTCTCCCAGAGCCCCACCTCTTACGGCTCTGGGCCCTTGGCTTCTCAGAGGAGTTAACTGTGGAGTTACACACACTGTGTGACTGTAACTGTAGTGACATCCAGCCCCACGCTCCCTACTGCAGTGATGGCCATGGAGACCTGCAGTGCGGGATATGCAGGTGAGGGGTGACTTTCTGTGCTCCTTTAGCTCCCACGACTCTCTCCTTGTAGTCCCCCTCCTTTGCCTTCTGCCTCTTGGAATGTACCAGACACCTCCGGACTCCACCTGAGCACCTTGACCTGAATCCTTCCACTCTTGCCTCCCTTCACTCTTGGTTCACTACTATAACCTAGTCTTGTTCCAGCTGCTCTATCTCCATCCTCCTTGAGAACACAGGCCTAGAGCAGTGGTTCTCAACCTTCCTAATGCTGTGACCCAAGACAGGTACCTTTGGAACCTGTCCTGGAACTCCCTCTGTAGACCAGGCTGATCTCGAACTCATAGAGATCCGCCTGTCTCTGCCTCCCAAGTGCTGGGATTAAAGGCATGCGCCACCACTGTCCAGCATGCTGTGACCCTTAATAGTTCCTCATACTGTGGTGACCCCAACCATAAATTATTTTTGTTGCTATTTCACAACTGTAATTTTGATACTGTTATGAATCCTAAGTATCTGTATTTTCCCATGATCTAAAGCAACCCTGTGAAAGGCTTGTTTGAGCCTCAAAGGTCGCGATCCACAGGTTGAAAACCACTGGCCCAGAGATGGTCAAACTCTGACCCATCTCTCTCTGTGCCTTCTTTTCCCAGCTGTGCCCCTGGCCGCCTTGGTCAGCTCTGTGAATGCTCCGAGGCTGAACTGTCGTCCCCAGATCTGGAATCTGGTTGCCGGGCCCCCAATGGGACAGGGCCCCTATGCAGCGGGAAGGGACGGTGCCAATGTGGACGCTGCAGCTGCAGTGGGCAGAGCTCTGGGCGTCTGTGCGAGTGTGATGATGCCAGCTGTGAGCGACATGAGGGCATCCTCTGTGGAGGTACCTGGAGTCTTGGGGGAAGCAGGGGTAGGAGAGCCCAGGGCAAATTTTAAAGGTTACGGGATGTGCCTGGCACAGTCGAGATGTTGGGCCAGCTGTGTGAGAGTGGTGGTCACCTTGTGCACGACTCGTCCCCAGGCTTTGGACACTGCCAGTGTGGAGTGTGTCACTGTCACGCCAACCGCACGGGCAGAGCATGTGAGTGCAGTGAGAACGTGGACAGCTGTGTCAGTCCCAAAGGAGGGCTCTGCAGCGGGCATGGGCACTGCAGGTGCAACCGTTGCCAGTGCCAGGATGGCTACTACGGGGCTCTGTGTGACCAGTGCCTCGGCTGCAAGTCACCATGTGAGCGGTACAGGTGAGGCCTCGAGTCTTTATCTTGGGAGCTGAGGCACAGTGAACCGCCTGTGTGTTCTCCTTGAGGGTGTGGGGGGAGGACTAGTAGTAACAGCTGCCCAGATGGGAACTCATTGGCATTCACTGGACAGGGATTGTGCAGAATGTGGAGCCTTTGGCACTGGTCCCCTGGCAGCCAACTGCAGTATGGCCTGTGCTGGTGTGAATGTGACGGTGGCCTTGGCTCCTAATTTGGATGATGGCTGGTGCAAAGAAAGGACACTGGACAACCAGCTGTTCTTCTTCCTGGTGGAGAATGCGGCTTCAGGAGTCACACTCAGAGTGAGACCCCAAGAGAGTAAGTAGGCGGAACCTCAGACCTGGGGATGTGCATGAAGGTAAAGGTGTCGGGTTTAAAGCAGAGCTGCAAACCTACCGCAAATGCCCCAGTAAGGAGGACTCTGGGCTCTGTTGGGTCCTATTTACAGTGACAGGGTTGGGGAGGCTGGACACCCTTTGGGTAACTATGATCAGCTCCTATACCTTGACCCCACCAGAAGGAGCAGATAACACCCGTGCCATCATACTGGGCTGCATAGGTGGCATTGTGGCAGTGGGACTAGGGTTAGTCCTGGCTTATCGGCTCTCCGTGGAAATTTATGATCGCCGCGAGTACAGCCGCTTTGAGAAGGAGAGACAGCAGCTCAACTGGAAGCAGGTGAGGCCAGGTCCTATTGCCACGGGCTCCCCCACTAAAGGCCCTCCCGCAGCATAACTAGGCCTTCTAGGATCTGGCTTAAGTTCCAGATTGGCCTCACAGGACTAGGTAATGGGGAGAGCCTGATATTTTTTTTACAGTTTGCAATGTTTTCCGACAGGACAACAATCCTCTCTACAAAAGTGCCATCACAACCACCATCAACCCCCGCTTCCAAGGGACAAATGGTTCTGGTCCCTCTCTTTGACCCAGGCAGCAGACTCACTTAGGACTCTTGTCTTGGCAGACAGCAAAGCAGGGTCTGCCAGGTGGCAGTCTGGCACCACTGTTGAGGGGTCATCAGTTTTTTCAGTGACCTTCAGAGGGCTGCTTCCCACTGCTGCAACCAATCCCCACACCTGATGAAGGGTTTGCCCACAATAAAGTCTTACCTCAGACTACAGCCTCCACTTTGCTTCACCTCAAGACAAGAAAAGCAAACTGCCTAGCCTAGGTCTCAGGTTACTGGAGGACAAGTGTGTGCTTCTGTAGTGTGACCTGGGAACACCTGGGCCAGTGGAATCTCAGGGGATGCTGAAACTGGAGTCACCCACCAACTTCTAAAGGACCTCACCTAGATAGGAGTCAGACCACATCTTGTCAGGCTGTTGAGAGCCTTTTTATCAGCAAAAAAATGGTATGTTTTGCCTCTACTTGTTAATTCTCTATGGGAAAAAACATTGTTTTAATAGGATAGTTTGTTCTGTTGCAAGCTGTAGGGTGGGCCCAAGGGAACTGTCTGGGCTCTGGTGAGAAAGCGCCCCAACAGGTCTTCTCAAGGAGGAGATGGAATGTAGAAAAGCGCCATTCTTTTTATTTAAATACCCTAAATAGAACACGAAGGAACATACACTGCACTTTAATGGTAAAAAGATACAAGTTTATAACATCTTATAAAAACTACCATTTAAAAGTGATCTTGTTCATTTGATAGTCCCCTCCCCCATAGCAAAATAAGTATATTTAAAAAAAAAAGTGGAGCACGGTAGGAGGGGAATTGAAGATAAAAGCCCAGGCCCACAGCAGGGGCAGAGGAACCTGGGAGAGGGCCGAGCTGTGGTGGGACTCCACCCATCTAACCCTCCATGTCAAGCCATGGAGCACAATCAGTAGCTGAGTGATGGACCGAAAGGACAGGCACCAGCAAGGGCAGACGGCAGGGCTGCACAGGAGCCACCCAGGGACTGGTGTTACTCTCCCCACGCAACCCCACTTCACATCTGGATCTCTGGGCACCTGCCCGCTCTTCATTCTCCCTTCTACACACACCTGAGACATCTGTCCAGTGCTAACACAACACCCCAGGAGCCTCTGTGGTTCTTGGGCCCTTGGGTATCCTACTACTCTTCACCCCAGAGCCTGTCTGTCCTCTACCACTGCCAGCCTCTGGGCTTCTCACACCCAGACCTTGGCAGTGTGGTTCTGGCTGGGCCATCTGTACACACATCCTCAAGTTCTCTTCCTTACAGCTTCCACTCGGGCAGGAAGCCATGGCCTGCAGGGCCTGCTCTACCCCAGTACATACATCCAGACATGGAGAAGCCTGGGTCAGTCTTCTACCTCTCCCCACAGATCATCTTCTAGGAGCAGGGAAGGATCCCATTTCCAGAAGCATTTTTGGGAGGATTTCTTTCTTAGTGTATCCTTTCCCAGAGTTCAATGACAGAAAAATCCCAGCCCAGCAGAACCCTCTGACATGAAATGGTCTGCCTTAGATGCGCAAAGATGCCCAGGGGTCACAGGGTCTAGAGCATGTCTAACAGCAGGGACAGCATGATGCTAGAACATACGGCAGTGAACATTTCTGACCTCACCAAGGCTCTCAGGTGTGTCAGACGCAAGCTGAAGGTTGAAACATCTCCCCTTCTTTTTCCCTGAAGTACTTCAACCCAAGAGGTATGACGTCCCGTCCCTCAACACTCTGGAAGAGAGAGGCCATAGCCAAAAGTTGCTGCCTGGCTCTCTTTGCTAGGCAAGAACTTGTTGGAGGCTGGGCTGCCATCTCAGACTCCTACTCACAGCTACAGCTATGTGTGCTCAGGACAATCTCCATGATTACACCTGAAGTAGGGCCCCTGGCATGGGGCAGTGCGCAAAGGAATTCCAAAACCTCCCTAAGGATCCTTTCTTTAGCAGGAAGGGAGTTATTTCACTTTAGAAAATACGTATCCATAAGTCCTGGCTTAGAAACACTCTAAGCAGTACTGTTGAATCAGTCTAAAAACAACAACAACAAAACCCCAAAAAAATCCTTCTGGAACAAACCCCCTCGGTCCCCTTGTTCTCAGCAACCTCTGGGAGGCAGGCACCCTTCGGGTCTGGGCGGGGAGGCTGCTCTATGCTTTCTGTCCTCTAAGTTGGTGGCCGAATAAATCTGGCTCAATAATTTTCATCCCTTCCAAGCAAATACACAAAACACCCACAAATCAGACAAAGACACGCACCTCATCACTTTCTCAGGGGTAGACAAGATGGGGTTCGGAACAGAATAAGGTCAAGAATAAAACAGACATTAGGCTCCTTCCTCTGCGGCATCCTCTACCTTGTTGGGTAGGGATGCCTATCAGGGAGGAAGCCAAGTTCATGTTCTTTGGGACTGAAGACCAGACTTCCACCTCCACTACTTGAACCGCCACAGGATTTGGGCAGGAAGGGGCTCTATCACACAAGTCACATCAGGGCCGTCACATTTGCATCTCTAACAGTTGTTGGCAACTCTGCACTATCCTTAGTTGTTCTAAGACGGCACAAGGGGACAGTCCACTTGACACCCACAGCTCTCTGCTCAACTGCTGCCTCTGTCAAGGACAGTGAGGTAGCCACAAACCATAACCAAGACCAACTTCCCAGACAAAAGGGCTGCATGGGCTACCCCACCCAAGCTTCCTCCAAAAGGCACTTGAGCTGACCCCATCAGGCACTGGCGTTGCACAAACCATGACAACAGCCATGGGCACAACACTGCTCTTATGAGGACAGAAAAAGGGATGCCCACTCCTCTTGTCAGCTCACAATGCTCCTCCAGCCTCTCCTTCTGTCCGCACAGTGTATATCAAGTCCAAGTAAGCTTAGCTGCCAGTCCTGGTCCTATTTTCTTTCACACAGGAAGTAAGATGCAGGGCTGTGGACCACCGAAGGCCTACGGTAACAAGAATGGCTGGGCCAGCCACAGTCCTTACTTTGCGTCTCCAGATTATCTGTGTCCCCTGTTTACCTGCTGTAATCGCTTCTGGATAAACAAAAACAAGAGCAGAACAAACAAATTCCCCTCCTCAGTCCTTTTCATTTCAGCTGCAAGTTCCAGTCCAAGATTGTGGGAACATTTCAGTCCTCAGGTAAGGGTCCTGGGACCAGCTCCCTGCCCAGGAATGCTGCCGAAACTCCCAAGAGTCGTACAGTCTCAGACTATTTACAGAGCTGAGGCTCTGGAGCCGCTGTCCTCCGATGGTCTCGTCTGCTCACCTGGGGCCACTCCTCTAGGAAGGGGGACAGGTTCAGAGGGAGTGGTGGTAGGGCCATCAGAGCAGAGGGATGTGCTCTTCGGTGGGCCCCCGTGCCTATAGAGAAAACTGCCCATCAGACGTCTTAGACTGGCATCCTTGGCACATCCGCTTGTGTCTGAGTAGTCGGTCTGTCCGAGAAAAACACTGTGAAGAGAGAGGATTAAGTTCCAAGAGGAATTCAGTCTCCTGTAGGAGGTCCCTTCCTTGCAGAGAAGGCACATGCTATGTTCTTGCTCCCTCAGTATCTGCACAGCAGGAGAGCACAGAAGTCAGGACACTGATGTCGCTGGGTATGGTGGTGGTGCATGTCTTTAATCTCAGAACTCAGGATGCAGAGAGGCAGGTAGATCTCTGCTGAGTTCAAGGCTAACCTGGTCTACATAGTGAGTTATATGACAGTCAGGGCCATGTAGACAGACCCTGTCTCAAACAACAGAAAGAAGCAAATGTGGGTTCTAGTGGCTGGGGATGCAGCTTGGATGGCAGAGGGCTTGCCTAGTACACAGGAAGCCCTGGATTTGATCCTCAGTGCCTTGAAAACTGAGCGTGGTGGTGCAGATCTTTGATCAAAAGCAGGAAGATCAGGCATACAAGGTCATCCTTGGTTATATAGAAAGCTGGAAGCCACTGTGGACTACCCAAGACTCTATCTCAACAAAGGAGATAGGGAGAATGAGGATTTGGCTCAACAGGTTGAGCCTTTGTTGCCAAGCCTGGTGACTGGAGTTTGATCTCTAGAACCAACATAATAGAAGGAGGCCTTCTGACCTCCACACCTGCCCTGTACACACACAGCAATGTAAGTCAACAACAAGAAGCAGTGCTGGAGAGAGGGCCTGGACCAGAGTGGAACGCTGGTTCTGTCATTTAGTCGTGTGACAACAGGCAAATCCCCCAACAGCCCCGAGCCTCCCTGTTTATCTGAAGGAGCAGATGAAAAGCACCCAACACAGCGTAGCTCTCCACTCATCAAATATTTAGCGCTTACTCTGCTGGACTCGGCCAGACTCAGCACTGAGGCACACCACAGCTTCTCATAGCATGTCTACCTTTTTGGGACCAAGCACAGGGCGGAAAACATGTTTCTTTGAGAAGGCCTAGAACTTGTGGTCCTCTTGTCCGGCTTCTCCGAGTGCCAGGATTACAGTGTCCCTCACGAGGAGGAGAAGGAGGAAGAGGAGGAGGAGGAGGAGGAGGAGGAGGAGGAGGAGGAGGAGGAGAAAGAAGAAGAACTATAACTATTACAAATGAAAAAGTGTTTTGGATTTGTGACAAGAGCTCACACTGTGCAGGGTGGACATGGGTGAAGTCACATGCCATCACCAGCAGCAGCTCTCAGCCTAGCATTCGGAAGACTCACTGAAGTGTGGACCTTAGTGTAAGACTGGGCAGAGCATCCAGATGTCAGTCACTGTCACTCTCATCTCCTGTCATGCTTACATTGTCTTCAGATCAGACACTGGAGCCCAGGGCAGAGGTGACGTCGCTCCTCCGCACTGCAGTGCTCTGAGATTGGACTAAATATCAGGCCTACTCTCACCTGCTGCATGGGGAAAGTTAAAGTCCCTGAACTTCAACTTCTCCATTATTGTGAAATGAGGATAACACAGCTACCCTAAGGAGATAACAAGATAAAAACACGCCGCACTCAAATTCTATGTCAAGTTTGTCTTCACAGTACCTGGCATAGATCAGGAATTCAAGAAATGATATTATCAGGCGGATCTCTATGAGTTTGAGGCCAGCCTGGTCTACATAGTGAGTTCCAGGACAGCCAGAGCTACATCGTGAGACCCTGTCTCAGGGAAAATAAAAGAAAACAAAAAATCCCAAACCAAACCAAAATAAACGATAATGTTATGATATTCTAACAAGTACTCCCTATGATTAGCCCCATAAGGCCCGAGTTTGCCTTATTCTGAGATGCTAACTGTACTGGGGAAACCCCTCAGTCAGACAGGAAGGGACTGGCCCTACTTTCTGAAGAAGGAAAATTTATGTTTGCTGCTATTCCAGGGACGACAGGCAAACCTTACCTGATGACATCGTTCACACTGGTAAGGCTTCTCACCACTATGCACACGCTTGTGGCGTTCAAGATGGTACTTCTGGATGAAACGCATATCACATACATCACACTCAAATGGTTTCTCACCTGGCCAGAGGTTAAAAACAAGTGAGAACCAACAAACGTTTATGATAGGAACCATACATTCATAAACACGTAAGACTGCTGGTCTCAGTGACAGCAAACACGGAGCCATGCAATCCCTCCGCGCCATTCAGCTTATCCTCTGCTTCCATGTCTAACGCCCTCCTGGAACACGGCTTACAGGCTGTCCCCATCCATGCAAGCTTGAGTACAGGCGAGACTCACCAGTGTGGATCAGGATGTGCCTCTTGAGGTGGTAACTGCTCCTGAAAGCTCCAAAGCAGTGCTCACAAATAAAATTTTTTGGGATCTTTACTTGGAAAGAGCCATTTTGTTCCACTACCACCACCTGGGGGCAACAATCAGGCATGTTACGGAGGTTTCTCTCTGCCCTCTTCCTAGAGGTCCACTTCCAGCTGCTGGACAAAGAGTCTGTCTGCTACTGTGAAAGGTGATGTCTACTGTCATATCCCTTACTTAGGCTAAGAGTCAGGAAGGGAAGAAGGGCTAGCACGCAGTGGTAGGATTGGCCTGCCTGCTCCAAGAGCACACTCCCCACCTGTCCCAGAATGGTCAGCAAGGGGAGGCAGCGGCTGTCAGTGTGGCCTTGGGTAAAAATCACGGCCCAAACTCAGTAGGGAAAACGTGAGCCACAGTGATGAGGAAAGTCTGAGTCTGGCGCTGACCCCATTACCTGCCTTTTTAACAGTCTTTTTTGAATGGGAGGACTCAGCCAAGCTGTCATCGTCTTTGCGGCTCCGGGATTTATCAGCGTCTTTTCGGTGGCCCTTTGAAGACAAACCAAATCTAAACTTACAGTCCATGTCAGAACACAAGATGAGAAACCAAATGCTGTTTCTTGACAATCAGTTTATAAAGGACAGTATACCACCTGTTTCCTCTCCATAATCCACTTCCTCTTCGTCTTTCCTGCTCTAGGAGTTTGTAGGTACAAGCGCTCCAAACACCCACACTCATTCTTGCCCAGATCCCCACTTCTTCTAAACAAAGCGGACAGGAACCACAGCTTGGCGCCTCCTGGCAGAGCTCAGGCTGCCCGACCCCCAAGCACCACAAAGGACTCAAGTGCTGTACCTGACTCGAGCACCTCAGCACATCAGGGCTACCTGCCCGCTCGCCATTTTCCGCCTGCTTGCTGGCAATCTGGCTTAGCATCATCTTCTTGCTGGCTGCAGTGGGAACCAAACTCACACCCGCTAGGCCTTCACAAGCCAGAAGACTTGCCTAAGTTGAAAGGAGATGAGGTGTCAGGTCACCTGGCAGGGCTGGACAAAAACAGGCTGCTATCCTGAACACATCTACCATCTACACTCAGCAACAAACTGCTTCTCCGCACGGAACAAACCCTCACTGTCAAGCCTTGTTCCTTCAAATCCTTACTGTCTTACCAAGAACTACTGCCCCCTTGGCATCCTGTAGTGATGAAACACAGATCAAGTTAATAATCACACAGTATCAACACTTGTGGTTACTGTACCAAACAGTATGCGTGGCTACATATTACCTAAGGCATTCTGGGCTTTTAACTACAGGAATGAGGTCTGTCTGTCTGACCCACTGAAACTGGAGATCACTAGCAATGTCTTCCTTCCGAATTCTTTTTTTTTTTTTTTTTGGTTTTTCGAGACAGGGTTTCTCTGTGGCTTTGGAGCCTGTCCTGGAATTAGCTCTGTAGACCAGGCTGGTCTCGAACTCACAGAGATCCGCCTGCCTCTGCCTCCCGAGTGCTGGGATTAAAGGCGTGCGCCACCATCGCCCGGCTTCCTTCCGAATTCTTTTATTTTCGTGTGCACTATGCCAGCAACATAGTGGAGATCAGAGGACCACTTGCAGGAAACCAGTTCTCTGGGGATCTAATTGGTTGATTGGTTGTCAGGCTGACAGCTGAACCATCTTGCTCCCCCCTCTTTTTTTTTTTTTAAGTTTTTTGAGACAGGGTTTCTCTGTAGCTTTGGAACCTGCCCTGAACTCTGTAGATCTGCCTGTCTCTGCCTCCTGAGTTCTGGGATTAAAGGTGCAAATCACCACAGCCTGGCCCCCTCTTCTACTTTTTAAAAGATTTTATTACTATTTTTTTTAAAGATTTATTTATTATGTATACAGTATTCTGTCTGCAGGTCAGAAGAGGGCACCAGATCTCATTATAGATGGTTGTGAGTCACCATGTAGTTGCTGGGACCTTTGGAAGAGCAGCCAGTGCTCTTAACCTCTAAGCCATCTCTCCAGCCCTTATTACTATTTTTTTTTTATATTATATGTGTGTGTGTGCCATATGTGGGCAAGTGCCCAAGGAGACCAGAAGGGGATATCAGATCCCTGCAGCTGAAGGGAGCTGAGCTGGCTGATGTGGGTGCTCTGGAAGAACAAGAAATGCTCTTAACCACTGAGCAATGTGTCCACCAACAGTGCTCAGACTCAAAGCCAATTTCAGATGGGCAGGCCTCGCTGGTGCCAACTACATTTTCTTTTTTTTCTTTTTTTTTTCCAACTACATTTTCTATCAGGTTATTTCTCACTTTAGATTTTTAAATTTCCTAGGTGCTGTCAGTTACAGAAAAACTCAATTGCCTTCATTCTGAAGTTGAATATACAGTTTCTCTGACCACTTAGGCTATTTATTTATTCGTTCATTTATTTATTTATTTTGTCTTTTCTAGAGAGTTCCTCTGTATAGCCCTGGCTGTCCAGGACCCAGGAACTCGGAGACTTGCCTAGTGCTGGGAAAAGGCGTGCACCACCACACCTATCCCACACTGCGAACCCCCTCTGCCTTACTTAGGCCACTTATATGTATACACTACATAAAGTGTTTGTTTGTTTGTTTTGTTTTTGAAGCAGGACTTTGGAGTGTAGCATTGGCGTCTACCCTTGAACTCACTTTCACTCTGTAGACCAGCCTGTCTCTGCCCCTGCAGTGCTGGGATTAAAGTGGGGCGCTGCCACTGCCTGGAGTGTACATAAAGTTTAAGAAAGTCAATTAAACAGGGGTGCTCTGAGAAATTACCCCTTATTCTAACACAACGGTTCCTGAACTGACTTTACTGAACTAGTACTCCAGAACGTATACTTTTCCTACTCAGAAAGTCCAAAGTTAAAAACCTTAGCTCTGCTGTTTGGGCAGTAATTCTGGGAAAGTCTCTCTACCTTTGCAGCTTTGCTTCCTTCAAATGTGAAATGCCTGTCAGAATGCCTGCCCTCACAGGGTCAAGGAGAACAAAACTGGTGTAAAATGCTTAGCAGAACAGTAAACACCGTGCTGGGGAGTAAGAAAGACGAAATCCAGAGACTCTTCTCTGCGGGGAGGAAAAAGCTGTGCACGCTGCAGCACTTGGAAGCAAGCCAATCCCACTACAATCAGGCTGCCATCCTGGTGCGACTGGTGCAGGAGTTGTCCTCAGAGAATGCGCAAAGCAGCAGCAGCATTTCCCTCAGAAGACTACAGCAGATCCTCGGGCCATCTTGTCCTTCCACTCCATCACTCCCCAGAGAATAACATCTAACTCTTTAGGAAGGGCACAAAAAGCCCCTGGGCCACACTCTGCTGACTTCTCCAGAAAACAACCCCCACAATCATTATCTACCCTTTCTCCCTAATGATGCCCCATTTAATCCTCTGGCCCCCTACCTGCCAGTACCCGGTAGTACCCTGAACCTCATCCCATTTTCCCACACATCTAAGCCTCTGCCCACACAGTCCTTCTGTCTGAATGGCCTTCTCTGTTCATTCAGCTAGCAGAACCCTACGCATCCGTCAAGTTTCGCCGTCTTCTCTCCATCCAGGCAGAAGCACCACTTTGCAGTGGTGTCCCTCTATCATTGCAAACTCCTTTAGTCAACAGATGCGGACGCTCTACTACCAGCCAGCCACTATGCAAGGCACTGTGAACATAAAAATAAATAATAGACTGTCTTTCCATTCCTCCCCCTCCCCCCAACTAGCCTGGAAGCTTACTGGGGACAAGGACAATCTTATTCATCTTTGTATTCCAAGCACAATGCCTTGCATGTTACAGGAGCTCAATAAAATTCCTGCTGAAAAAGAAAAACAAATGAAGCATTCACCAGGCTCTTCACTCCCTCATGCCCAAGTACTCCACGTACCAGAAGTACAGAGTATAAGGTGCTTTGCCCACCGACATCAGTGCCTGGGACGTGGTGTATAGCCTACCTCCTTCATTTGACTGGAAGCTCCCTGAAGGCAGGGAGGCCTGTCTCCTTTCCTTCCTCTAGATCTCCCCCTGGTGCTTAATACAGAGCTCGGCTTACTGGGGATGGTCAACACTGTTGACTAAGGCAGAATTCAAGAGTGACACTGCAAACAGGCTTCCCAGTGAGCGGTCTTGAAGGAGGACGCGAGAGCTTTTTACCTGAGCCATGCTGATTTTTCATTTAATGAACCCAAAAGTTCAGAAGTTCTTTATCCAGCTTTCCTTAAGACACGGTAGTTTGAAGAACTGTCACCAAATCACAGTAATGGCTCCTTCCTTTTCTTTCAGTTCAGTTGCCATAATGAACTGCCTTTGTCCTCTCAAAGAATTTAGCGTCCTCCAAAGGGAAAAAAGGTGTTGCAAAAATCCGAGGTCTGTGGCTTCTGCCTATTGTCTGAAGAAATGAGAGTCTATCAGTCTTGGCTTCCCAGTTGAATTTTCTTGGTGAAGCTCTAGGTCTGCTCCGGAAATCTGAAATCAGAAAGGGAGACGAGGCCCGTAAGTGCAACATCCTCAGGCCATACGCTCGCTCAACTTATTTTGCGGGGCGCTCTGAAGCTCGAAAGGAGGACAAGAGTCAAGAGCTTTCTTTCTGGGTCAGTATAAGAAACTGGCCTCCTGGGCCGGGAAGAGCAGCCAACAGGAGTAAAAGGAAGCTGGGTCTTCAGGAGAGACACTGCCAACAGAGTAAAGGCTCGGATTTGGCATCTTAGGAACGGAAGAAGGGGGCGGAGGCCCTCTGGGGCTTTTGTGCAGAGTGGGCCGGCCTGCAAGGCTGGCACTCCGCAGACGCTGGCAGAGCGTGGTGGAGGGAAGCTCGGGGACCACCGCTGAGCGCCGGGGTGCCTGCTGGACACCGACGGGCAGTGCCCACACGTGAGCGCTACTCCGAGTCCGCGCGAAGGTACGTAAATCCGCCGCGGAGGTGGAGGGCCGGCGCGCTCTCTGCAAGCAGCCGCAGCGCGGGGACCGGAGCAGAGCATCGCGCGACCTGCATGCTCGTGCCCGCGTCCCCTCCCAGCGAGCCCCCTCACCCCGGCGGGGGGCGGGGCGGGGGCGGCCGCGGCCCTCCCCTCGCGGCCCCCTCCCTCCTCCCTCCCTCCTCCGCCCCGCTCCCCTCCCCCTTCGCGCGCGGCGCCCCACGGCCTGCGAGCTGCTGAGGAGCCGCCGTCTGCCTGCTCGACGCTGCCTCCCCGCGGCGCGCGCCTACCTGCCCGGCGCGGCCTCCCGCCGTCTCCTCCGCCGCGCGGCGCCTCCTCCAGGCCCTAAGCACCCGGTGCCAAGCTCGCGGCCGCCGCTGCCCGCGCCGGGACCGAGGCAAGTTTACAAACACCAACCCGGGGCCCGTTTCCCCGGAAGCACTTCTCCCTCCCCCTCGTCTTCTCTGCCAAGCGGCCACATCCACTTCCGGGCTCGGGAGCCTGGTCAGGAGGGGGCCGCCAGAGAGGGGTGAGGCTGGGGACGCGCAGAGTGCTGCAGCTGGCGAGTGGGAGGGGTGGCGATCGGCAGGACCGGAGGAGGATGGTGCGAAGGGGTGCGCGTGCGCCCTGGCGCGCGGGCGCCTTGGCCGCCATCTTGACTGAGGGCAGACACCAGGCTCGCTCCTGAAGTCTTGAGGGGCTGAGTGTTCTTTGAGAAGGTTCGGTAATTGAGCTGGTTGACTTCTGGAAAAACTCCCTCTCTCTCCTGTTGCTCCTAAGTCCGGAGCCCCAAGTAGACGCTAGAACAGTTCGTACCCCTGATCTTTTCATTTAACTTGGTCAGGTTTGTGTTTCCTGGCTTGTTATCCGGCGCAGTCCTGCAGACAGGTCAGCTGGTAGTAGAGTTAAATCTTTGCGCCGTCCTGCAGTACACGCTAAACCACATTCCGAGTGTGAGTCTCGGAGACGTTCCCGAAGTATCCAAGGCAGCCCTGCTCCGCTCCCGCAACCTTGTGCCCGGAGCTAGACTCGTTAGTTTCTCTCCTCCCTGTTCTGGGTGATCTAACCCAGGTTTCCTTGCAGGAAAACGCCTTCTTTTCCCCTTCGGTGGACTTTTTGTTGCAGACTTGGACAGGCACGTTGCTCCCTGGGCCAGGCTGCATTTGAAAAAGGGAAAATTAAACCCATCCTCGAGCAGCTTAGCATTAGAGAGGGGTCCTGTTAAAAGATGGAATATTCGAAGTGCACACTTAGCAGAAGGAAACAGGGATTCCACTTACGTTCCACTCTATTCTAGCTGCCGTCTGGTGAGTGTAGGAGACTTCAAGGCACTATCGAAGAAAAAAAAAGTCCATAATGAAAAAAGATAAGGCTTCCTAACTATAGACCTGCACATTTTAGACCATTCAAGTAATTTCCACGATCCTCTTAGGATCATCCTAAAATTGACATACAACGGAGAGAAATGTCACCAGGAATGTTTTTATTATTGTTGTTGTTGTTTTTTAGTTTTGTTCTGTGTTTGTTTTTGAGACAGGGTTTCTCTGTAGCTTTGGAGCCTGTCCTGGAACTAGCTCTTGTAGACCAGACTGGCCTCGAACTCACAGAGATCCACCTGTCTCTGCCTCCCGAGGGCTGGGTTTAAAGGTGTGCGCCACCACCACCCGACTTAAAGTTTTATTTTTATGTGTGTATGGGTGTTTTGCCTGCATGTATATCTGTGTAGCACTTGAGTGCCTGGTGTCCTTAGAGGCCAGAAGAGGGCATAGGTATTCATTCACCTAGAAACCTGCCAGAGACACTTAGGGTTAAGACTGTTGGATCCACCCTGTGGGTGTTGTGAACTGAACCTGGGTCCTCTAGAAGAGCAGCCGGTGCTCTAAACTGCTGAGGCATCTTTCCAGTCCCTATTATTGTATTTTTGGTGCTGGGGACAGATGGGATGCATTTGGAATGCGTGGCCTGGCATATGCTAGACACTCAGCTACTGCGCTGTCTCTACTACTCTCCACCGCTGCCCAAGTCTTACCATTTGTGAATTGTACCGTGAGACACTTTTTCTGAGATCAGACAAATATTTTTTTTACCCAGTACATGTTTTTCGATCATTTATAATGTGTCATACAGTATATTTTATTTTCTGTTTTTATTTGAGGTAGGACCTCATTCTGTAGCTCAAGCTGGCTTCCAAGTCTCCTAAATTCCTCTTGCTTGGCTACAAACCCAGTGGGTAGTGTATATTTGACATCTGATGGGGGGAGGTGCACGCCCTTAATCTCAGCACTCGGGAGGCAGAGTCAGGCAGATCTCCTTGAGTTCGAGGCCAGCTGGGCTACAGAGCAAGTTCCAGGACAGGCTCCAAAGTACAGAGAAACCCTGTCTTGTAAAACAGAACAAAACAAAACACAAACATACCACACAAAATGCCTGGAGATCAGGAATTTGGGGTCATCCTCTGAAGCAAAGTTCATATGCTTTGGCTGCATAACACCTTGTCAAGGTGGTGGTGGCACATACTTTGAACTCACAGAGATCCGCCTTGCCCTTGCCTCTCTAGTGCTGGAATTAAAGATGTGTGCTACCACTGTCCAGCCAGAGGTCAACTTTTGAGAGTCAGTTCTCCGCTTCTACTGTGTGGGTTCAGGGATGGAGAAACGCAGTTCACCAGGCTTGAGAGCAAGGGCCCTTGCCCGCTGTGCCATTTCAAAGGCCCCAGTTTGTTAACTTTCTAACAATACGCCTAGTTAAAAGAACTTCTGGAGGTAGCTAGTTGTCCGGGTCTCTTTGCCGTCAGGCAGGACTCCTCTGGTGCAGCATCCCTAACTCAGCCTTTCTGTTTCACTGTATCACTTCCCCAAATAGTGCTGCCATGAGTCCCGAGTGCGTCCCCACCTCATTACCTGAAGGCCAGCACGTGCGATGGGCTCCTTTGCTGGCTGCTAGCTGGAACCCACAGGATAAGCACAGTCCCTGGGGCAGTGCCAACCAAGCAGAAGTAGACAGTCAGTGTTTGCTGAACAAGCTAAACCATTCTCTTGAGAGCCAGTACGGTTGCATAATAGACACAAGCTGTCTAGTTCCCTTTGCCGCCCCTTAGACCTTTGATGATAGTGAATAAAGAAGTTGGGAAATAGTCGCAAGCCTTTAATTCCAGCACTCCTGAGGCAGAGGCAGGTGATTTCTGTGAGTTCAAGGCCAGCCTGCTCTACAAGAGCTAGTTCCAGGGCAGCTAGGGCTGTTACACAGAGAACTTTGTCTTGAAAAAACAAAAAAAAAAAAAGAAGTTGGGAAATAGAATGATGTTCAAGGGACGTTCTTTATACTTGGGAAAATTTTGGAGGTTTTTCTTTTTTTGTGTGGTGATGGGAATGGAACTGAGGGCCTATCACAGAACTACTCCTACAGCCCCTCCTTAAGCATTTTATTATCATTATCATTTTTTTTGAGACAGTGTCTCTCACTGTGAACTCACAGAGATCTGTAAAGGTGTGCACTACCACACTCAGCCCCTTCTCAATCTTTTCTTGTTTTAAAGTAACTTTTATTTTAATGGTGTAACTAAGGTGAGATTGTTGTATATTTAATTTGGAGGCACTGTTGTGGTGCTTGGCTTTGTCAACCTGACATAACCTAGATACCGGACTCTCCTCAGGAACTGTAGAAATCACGTTGACCTTTGGCCACATCTGTGGGGTGTAAACCTTGATTGTTAATTGATACAGGAAGACCAAGTCTTCCCTGATTTGGGGACCCTGGACTGTTAAGACATAGGTGAGGGCTAGTTGAGTACTAAGCATGCAGGTCGAGGGGTACATTCATTTCTGTCTGCTGTTTCCTGCATGTGTATATATGCACCACACGCATGCAGTGCCTGAGGAGGTCAGAAGAGGGCATTGGGTCTCCTGAGACTGTAATTACTGTTAACTTGGGTGCTAGGAATTAAACCCTACGTGTTCTATCCCCAGCACTGCACGTGAAGCAAAGCAAAGTGAGCACAGGACTATGCACCTACGCTCACACTGCTGAGGCAGGAGGATTGCTTCAACTCAAGAGTGCTGGGTCAGACAGAGCAGTACAGCAGAACTCTGATTCCTAAGGCAAACAGTGCAATTTTGAAGTGTGTTACTGCTTCATAGAAACTGACTGATCCACTTATATAAAACTATATTGAGATGTCTGTTTATTGTGGTGGAGGTGTGCTGGGAGTCACAGTAGGAAGTCACTGTAGCACTGAGCTACACGCCTAATTTTCGAAAGTGGTGGTCTACAGGGCAAGTTCCAGGACAGCTAGAGCTGTTAAACAGAGAAACCCTGTCTCAAAAAAAAAAAAAAAAAAAAAAAAAAAAAGTTGTGTGTCATTCTGTTTTGCTGAAGCTAAGGGTCTGGACATTTACTAAGACATTTTAAAAATATGATTCTTAATTCTATTTGTTTGCTTAGCGAGCTGCCTGTGTGCATGCACTTGTATCTTTTGCAGCAGAGAACAGCAGCTGCAAACCCATTCTTCCACCGTTTGCATTCCTGGGATCAAATTCAGGCCCTAAGGGTGGGTGACAAGCACCTTTAGCCATCTTACTACCCCTCTAAGGCATTTTTTAAAATTATGTTTACCTGTTTTGTGTGTATGTGCATGTGTGTGCATATGCATTCACGTGCGCATGTATGCAGAGGTTGAAGGACAACTTCTCTACGAGAGTTAGTTCTCCACATCTTTCATGTGGGGTCCACGGTCCAATCCAGGTGCTTAGTGGGAAGCACCTCTCACTTACCGAGCCATTTTGCCGGTCCAATATTTTCTACATTGGTACAAGGTTTATGAATGTTGACCCGGTCAGACATGCAGGTGGTTGTCTCTGCAAAGGTGGAAAACTGGTGTCCTCGTCCACTATTGGTAGAACTGTGAAGGGCACCTATTTTGGAAAACAATTTGGCAATTCCTCAAGAGGTTAAACATAGTTAGCGTGTGACTCAGCAGTTTTCCCAGCAGGTATATCCTCAGGGGAATTGAAGACACATGTCTGCACAAGAACTTGTACACAAATGTTCATAGCTGCGTTATTCATCATAGCCAATGCCACAAGTGACTGAAACAGTTAGGAACTTATAAATGGCCAAATGAAGTACATAATGTTCCTATAGAGTATGAACCAGTCATAAAAAGGAGTGAAGTACTGGCTCATGCTGCAGTCTTTAGAACAGTGTGCTTCTTTCCCCAAGGAAGCCAGTCACAAACCCCACATAGTGTCTGCTGCTTTTTCAGCGGCCTGCACAGCCGGCAAATCTGTAGAAATGGAAAGTGGATTTGTGGGTGCCAGAGGTTTGGGCGGGAGAAACCAGTGACTACGGATGAGTTAGGTAGTGGCAGTGCTTGCTCAAGTTTGTGGCTCTACTAAAACCCCTGGATAAAGGGATGAGTTCTGCGGTGTGTAAAATTTATCTCCTAAAGCTGTTATGTTAACAGTGAGGAAGCGCTGTACGTACTAATATGATACGTACCCATATTTTGTTTGTGGAAAGAAAGCAGTATGTAGAAGAATGGTTATGTTCCTGTTGTGTAAAGAGGGAGAAAATGTATTGACATTTGTTAGTATTTGCAGTGAAAATTATGAAGCCCGGTTCCCTTTTTAAAATGTGGTTCATGGGCCTCCCTGAACCAGTGTGAAGGTCAGCATAGTGCATCTTAAGTACGGAATGTCGTGAAGTAAGATCTGTTTTTGGTTTGTTTTTGTAGTGCTGGGGATGGAACCCAGGGTTTTCTATGTAGTAGGCAGGCTCTGATCTCTAGCCCAGTTTGCCCATTTAGTCTCTTGACCTTTGTTCTCCATGTTTGCCGCTGTTGGGGTGGGGGAGGTAGCAGAGTGGCTCTGAGGGACTGACCCTCCATC